TTGTATTCTGCTACATTGCTGAATTTGGTTATTAATTCTAGGGGTCTTTTGGTTGAGTTTTTTGGGTCTTGTAAGTAGAGCATCATGCCATATGTAAATAATGATAATACAACTTCTTTCTTTCCCAAATGTATTCCTTTTATTTCTTTCTCATGCTTGGTTGCTCTGGCTAATGTTTCGAGGAGTATGTTAATCAGGAGTGGTGATAGTGGACATGTTTGTGCTCTTCCTGACTTAAAAAGGAAAGATTTTAGATGTTGGCAATAAGTTTGTCATAAGTGGCTTTTATCAGATTGAGACATCCATATGCTTATTTTCTTCAGGGTTTTAAAAATCATGAATGGATATTGGACTTTTCAAAGGCTTTTTCTGCGTCTATTAAGATGATCATGTGATTTTTGTTCTTGCTTCTATTTATGCAACATGCTACATTTATTGATTTGCATAGATTGAACCATCCTTATATCCCTGGGATGAAGCCTACTTGGTCATGATGTATGATCTTTTTGATAACGGACTGCATTCTGTTTGCCAGAATCTTGTTGAGGAATTTTGTATCTATGTTCATTAAAGAGATCGGCCTAAGGAGGATTGTTGTGAGTTTAAGACCAACCTGGCCTACAAAGTGAGCTCAAGGCCAGCCTGAATTGCATAGAGACCCTGTCTCAAAATAACAGAGTGAGAGAGAGAGAGAGAGAGAGAGAGAGAGAAAAGAGACATTGGCCTCTAGTTCTCCTTTTCGGTTGGATCTTTGTCTGGTTTGGGGATCAGGTTAATGCTAGCTTCCAAGAATAACTTTGAGAGAACTCGTTCCCTTTTGATTTCATTGAAGAGTTTGAGGATTTTTGACTTTAAACTTTCCCAATTTTTGTAAATTTGATAGCGAATTTTTTTCAGAGGACAACTTTCTTTAGTTGGTAGGTTTTTTTTTAGTTGGTAGGTTTTTCATTATAGCTTTAATATAACTTTGTCATTGGATTATTTGGGATATATATTATATAATATAATTATATTATATAATAAAATATATATTATATAATATATAATTTATATAATAAACATATTATATAATTATCATATAATATTATATATGATATATTATATATAATATAATATTATATATTATACTTGGTTCTTTCAGATTCTCTGGTTTGTTGGAGTACAGGTTCTCAAAGTAGTAGTGAATATTCTTCTAGATTTTGGGGATGTCCTTTGTGATTTCACCTTTTGCTTTTCTTTCTTTCTTTTTTTTCTTTTTTTTTTTTTTTTTTTTGTACCGGGTATTGAACTCATAACCACGTGCTTGCAAGGCAGGTGCTTATGGCTTATGCCATTGAGCTAAATCCCCGGCCCACATTTTGTATTTCTAATTCCATTGATTTGGGTCATGTTTTTCCAATCCTCCTCCTCTCTTCTTTCGTCCCCTCTCTTACTTCTTCCTTCTCCTCCTCCTTATCCTTCTTTTGAAGACTGGCTAAGGGTTAGTCCATTTTGCTTATGCCAGCTCTTTGATTCCTTGATTCCTGTGTTGTGTTTTAGTCTCAATTTTGTTAATTTCTATTTTGATCTTTATAATTTCCTTTCTTGTAGTAGCTTTGGATTTAAATTGTTCTTGTTTTGTCTAGGTGCTTGAGGTGCATCATTAGGTTATTTATTTGGGCTTCTTTTTTTTTTTTTAATGTGGGTATTCACAGCTATAAACTTCCCTCTTAGGACTACTTGCATTGAATCTATAAATTCTAGTACATTATACTGGCATTGTTGAGTCTAGGACCTGTCAAATTTCTTTGTTGATTTTTCTGTGACCAATTCATTATTCAAGAGCATATTGTTTAACATCCATGTGTTTGCACTATTTCTGCATTTTCTTTAGTCATTGATTTCTAGTTTCACTGCACTGTGATCTGATAATATCCCTGGCCTAGTTTCAGTTCTTTTACATTTGTTTAAGCACACTTCATTGGCTGGTACATGGTCTGTTTTGGAGAAAATCTCCTGTGCTGCTGACAGCAGTGTGTATTTTTGTTGCTGCTTTGTAGAACATTCTGTAGATATCTAATGAAATCATTTTTTGAAGATTTTATTCAACTGTATATTTTTGTTTATTTTTTTCTAGTTAATCTATTTGTGACAGTGAGATGTTGAGGTCCCCCACTGTAATTGTATTTGTATTTATCTGATCCTTTATGTCTAGTAATATTTTACAAAATTGGATGCACTGCTGTTCAGCGGAAACCTACTTATAATTATCTCTTCCTGTTGAATTGTTCACTAAATGTAGTGACCATTGTGTCTTGAATTGTGTGTTGAATTGTTCCATTGTGTGTTGAATTGTTCACAAAATGTAGTGACCATTGTGTCTTCTGATCAGGTTTGGCTTGAAGTCCTCTTTGTCTCGAAATAGCATAGCTACTCCTGCTCTTTTGGGCTCTTGTTGCATGGAATATTGTAAGTTTTTTAATGTCAATTTTTTTTGATTAAGTGTCTTTTCTGCATATAGCACATCTTCAAGTTTTGCCTTTTTGTACTTGCATTTGTCAGGCAGGCGCTTACGCAGCTGAACTAATCCTCAGATAGTTTTATTTTTTTGCTCCATTTTGCCAGTGTGTGTCTTTAGATTGGGGAGCTGAGACCATTCTCAGTGAGAGTTACTACTGAAAGCTATTGACTTATTCCTTTGACTGCATACTTTGTTGTTGCTAATTTCCTTTTCTTCCCATTTGAAAAAAAGTGTTTGCCCTACTTTGTATATATATATTCTAGTATGCCTTCTGGCATTGTTGACTTTTGTTTTTTTGGTGCTAGAAATCAAATTTAGGACTTCACGGTTGCCAGGCAGGTGCTGTGCCACTGAGCTACATCCCTGATCTGGCATTGTTGATTTAATCGTTTTTTTTCTACGATATCCTTGAGAATTTTTGAAGTGCTTAAAATGCTTGTTGTCATGGAAGCACCTCATTTCTGCACTTTTTTTCCTCCATCAATTTTGAAACATTGTTTTGCAGGATATATAGGTCTGGGTTATAAGCTGTTTTCTTCTGTGACAGGAGACACTTCATTGTATGCCCTCTGGGCCTTTAATGTTTGTGTTGAGAGGGCTGCTGTAATTCTCTTGGGTTTAGCTTTATCTTGAGAGCAGCCTGCGAGGCTATCAGCAGATGAAAGGAAAACCTGGTATTTATACACAATGGAGTACTATAAAGGTTATAAAGAGAGATATATTTGAGTCATCAGTAGCAAAATGTATGCACCTTGAGACAATAATGTTAGATGGACTAAATCAAACAGACAAATTTAAATATCACATGGTTCTTATTTGAGAAGTCTAGAAATGTAAATTGAGAAATCCAAAATGTAAATAATTTAAATAGCAAAATATTAAGATAAAAAGAAACAGGGAGAGAGATCTTTGCAAATGGGAAAAGAACCAAGAGATAAGGGAATGGGGAGGGAGAGGAGAAGAAGTAATAAAAAGAATAAGATGTGTTATGCACATGTACTGATTCCTTATGGTAAATGTAATCATTATATGCAGTAAACTTGTACAGCAAAGATTAAAAAGGGAGCCAGCCACGGTGACACATACCTGTCATCCCAGCTTGGGAGGCTGAGGCAGGAGAATCACCATGACTCCAAGGCCAGCCTGGGCTATATAAGTAAGTTCAAGGCCAGTCTGCACTACCTAGTGAGACCCTGTTGCAAAAAAACAGAAAACAGAAGAAAGCAAAACAAAACAAAAATGCCAGTCCATGTCTTGAATACATTGGACGCATACATTACATGTGTAAAAAAAATCACACAGTAGTCATAAGAGACAAAAAAAAAAAGCATTCTTACTTGTCTACTAAGTGTGAAGATAATAGTTTCACACAAAAGTGTGTGTGGCCAGGGTGAGGTCTCAGGTATTGTTAGTTTGGCACCTTAGCTGTTTAGTCCATGTGGGTGCTTACAGCACCACTGTGGACTCACTAGCTACCAGTTCCTAAAAAGGTGTAACAACTGCAAAGCTGCAAGAATTACATTTGAGACATAATGGTGTTGATCACAAGACTAAAAGAAATATATTCTTTTTAAAATTTTAGACAGGCTCTCTCTAAGTAGTTCAGACTGGCCTTGAACTCACTACATTGCCCAGGATGGCCTTGAACTCTAGGTGATCCTCTTGCCTCAGCCTTCAGAGTGCTAAGATTACAGGCTGGTACCACTATGCCTGGTTTACTATATGTGCTGCCAAAGTGAGCGCACCATGCCCAGCAAGCAATGCAGTCTTGAAACTTAATGGGAGTAAACAATGGGCTGAGCACGGTTGTGTGAACCTTTTCGGAGGACGTCCTAAACATGCTCCAGCTAGGTTAAGGGAATTTCTATTACTAAGGGAGACCCAGAAAAGTTGAGTGGAACCAAATCCTCCACAGAGGACTTGTGGGACGCTACTATTTTGAAGAATCCTGTGGTGGGTTCTCCAAGTTTAAGCATCTCACCTGCGTGTGACATTTGGAAAACACAGAATGTGTCACAGCTTTGTCTCCCCTGGCTACTTTGGTCATTTTGCCTTTCTGTATCCCAGGTGCACTAGAGCAGTGTACCAGGTGCATTGCTGTCTGCCTGGGCAGAGGAGGGCGTAAAGAACAGAAGTGGGCTGGGGATGTGCTGCTTCACCTAGTGGAGCCCTGGGCCTGGGCTCAGTACCCAACACAGGGAGCAAAAGAAAAGGAAGACGGCGGGGGACAGAGAAATGAGTGTGTGGTGGTGGCATGGTTTTCAATTTGAGGTTCAAAATGGTGGCAACTTCTGTTGGGCTTATTGTGCCCTTGAATTAATCTCTTTATTTCTGAAGAGTAAAACAATATGGTTTCATTCACTTTCTTTAGCTAACAATCGGCGGACAATTATTCTGTGACTTGACCTAGATGAAAGCCGATGACATAGGGCAAAATTAGCTTAGTGGTTACTGCTGCTTTGTCCTCTTCTTTGATGACCTTTGTCCTTTGTTTTGATAGAAAGGAAAGGACTTTGGATTTTTTCCCAGAGATGCGGTCCAGATTGAAGAGGTGTTCATATCTGAAGAAGTTCAAGTGTCAACTAAAGTGAGTAAACTTAGCCTCAGCTCTTGAGTGAATTTAAAATTTCTTGGCTAAGACAGGTTTTAAGAAGTGTACCTTGTTCACTGTATCACACAGTGAATGCATAAAATACTTGGCCTGAGAATTTTCTTAGACGTAATTTGAGTATATAAATAGAACTAGGCAAGACAAAACTGGTGACCGTTGAATATTTTACTTTCTGAACAATTAAAAAACTGGCAATAGCATGTAATGGTTAAATGCATGCATTCTAAAGATGCATGAAGGTTAAACTCCAACCTAATCACTTAGGTTGATTAGGACATAAGGTGACGTGACCTTATTGTCCTCCAAATTCTTCAACTGTACAATGGGAGTGATGAGTGTAACATGGCTTACCTCAGTTTTCTGAGGAACAAATGAGTTATGGAAAGCTTGTAGATCAGCATTTTGTTTTATTTTGCTTAGATTTTTTTTTTTGAGACAAGTTTTTTTCTGTTTGTTCAGGCTGGTCTTGAATTCGCTAATGATGCGCAGACTGGCCTCAAACTCATGGAGTCCTCCTGCCTCAGCTTCCCAAGTGCTGGTCCTACAGGCATGTGCCACCATGCCTGGCTAGATGATCATTTAGATACAGCCTACTAGCCCAAAGTTTGTTTCCTACCCCACGCCGGAGTCTATATCACCTCTTTTAGTGTTGGAGTTATTTGTTTGTTTTGCTTTGCTTTTTGTTTTTGAGACAAGTTCTCACTGTGTAGTCCAGGCTGGCCTTGAACTCACTGTGAAGCTCACGCTGACCTCACACTCCCAGCAGTGTTCTGCTTCAGCCTCTAGGGTGCTGGGATTATAGGTGTGCATCACCACCCCCAGCTTGGTGTTGGAACTTTTCTAATGAGTTCATTAAAGTTGGGATTGGAATAAGGAAGAAAATGAAAAAGTGACTTTAATATGTGACCTTGATTGTCCATTTAATTCAGATCTCAGGGCAAGTATAAAGTGAATCTGTCTAATTAAACAACCTACCATTGCCTGGCTCTTGCCCAGTGCAAACTCTGGGATTAACTGTCCATTTACACTATGACATTGGTCCTGCCTCTGTGTGAATCTGGGACAGATTGTCTTTCTTTATTTCTACTCTCACGGTACCCCCTAATCCACGGCACTTGACATTTTCTGGTTGAAATCATATAGCAGCCTTTTAACTGTTCTCCACGCCACTGGTTTTGTTTTCTTCTAATCTGTTCTCCACACACCGAAAGATCTCATAGAAATAAAAATAACAGGTCAGATCCTACATTCCTTGGGTTAAAGTCCTTTTGGGACTTTTCCCTGGACCAGGTAATGCCAGACACCCTATACTGGCTCCAGAGGCCACTGCTCCCTGCTCTCAACCAAACTGACCTTTGGTCAGGGCTTCCTGGTTGAGTTCTTTTCCTGCCTGGGGAACGAAAAGGACTGTGTTTTCTGATTCAAATTCTTACTCCAAATTCTTCAGTTGGCTAGTTCCGTCTTATTGTTTACATCACGATTTAGCCAGGTATAGTGGTGTACGCCTGTAATGACAGCATTTGGAAGGCAGAGGCGGGAGGATCACTGCGAGTGGCCAGCCTGCACTACAAAGTGAGACCCTGGCTCAAACCGAGCCACCCCACCCCCTAAGATTGCACTAGTTGCAATCTCAGTATCTTTTTGTATGGTTTACGGTAGAATCCAAACACCCAGCACAGTGTCAGGCATGTAGTAAACATACAGTTACTTGGATTTATTGTTTTTCTTTCCTTTTTTTCTATTTGAGAAGGGCCTCACCATGTTATGGAGCTGGCCTTGAACTCCCTATCCTCCTCCTTTAGTCTCCTGAGTTATCCAAGAACTGGGATAATGAGCACATGACCCCACAGACATCTTGCCCCAGATTCTTAGGTCAAATTCCTGAGGAACAGACACTGAAGTAAACCATCACATCCAGTACTCTTGGGGATCGGACCTGCAAAGGAACAAAAGAAAATGCAGGATCGAGCTACAGAGAAGTTGAAATGGCATGCAATTAAAATAAATATCAGCTCCACAAGGAACTCTGAAGTGAGGGTGACCCTTCAGAGACAAGGGAGCTAGACCATCTGCCTTGAATAACTGGGGTACATGTAATGTTGTCCAAGATGGTGTAACTTTGAGCTGGCCCAGGTTAGTTTTTACTAGAGAGAGTTACTTTTTTCTTTTAGACAGAGAATTCCTGTATAGTTCATGTGGCTTTGAACTGACCCTGTAGCCCAGGCTGGCCTGGAACTGGTGGCCATCCTCCTGCCTTAGCCTGCTGAATGCTGGGATTGCAAGCATGCATCATTACACCTGGCTCAACAGTTACTATTCCAAACATTTGACTCGTTTATTACTGATAATACTGGAAGGCAGAGGCCATCATCATCCGCAATTTACATTGTGGAGGAAGACGCATAGAAAAGTTACAGAGATCATCCAAAGTTACAGAGCTAGTAGATAGTGCAGGTAGGAGTTAAACTCAGAAGATCTGACTTTAGTGTTTCTTTCTTTTTTTTCCAGACAGGGTCTTGCTATGTAGTTTAAACTGATCTTGAACTCCCTATGTAGCTGAGATTCCCTTCAAACTTATAGTGATGGTTCTGTATCAGCCTCCTAAATGCTGGGATTACTTATTTATTTATTTATTTTTGTCTTTTTGAAACAAAGTCTCACTGTGCAGTTCAGACTGGCCTTGAGCTCACTTTGTAGCCCAGGCTAGTCTCAAATTTGCAACAATCCTCCTGTCTCAGCCTCCCAAGTGCTGGGATTATAGATATGCAGCACCATGCCCAGGTACATGCTGGATTAAAGGTGTATGCCACCACACCTGGTTTAGTGTCTTTTCCTAATTACTCATTATCCTTATAATATAAAATATATTATAGGCCAGGGATGTAGCACAGCAGCACAGGCGACTGCTTGGTAAGCTCAAGGTCCTGAGTTCAATTCCTGGTACCAAAAATAAAACAAACTATAAATATATATTTCAGTATATAAAATGCATTATAAAATTGCAATTCTGAAGCTTATCCTTTAAGAAAAAAATCTCTATTTACTCTCATTTTATAATGGTAATAACCCAAGAAAGAACACACATTACTATTTCTAAATTTCAGGTTTTCAAAAGTTTTTTCTTAAGTTTTTCTTCAGGATTTTGTTGCTCTACGGAAGAAGCAAAATAGATTCCTATTTCCACTGGCTATACACAGTGACTGAATAAAGGAAGCCTAAATGTTTCAGTGTACCTTTTAACCAAGCTTCACGCTCCAGCATCTCTGGTCTATCTCACTATGATCATACCTGGGGAACTGACTAGGCCACTGTGTTGGTGTGTTTTGTGTTACTTTAACAGAACACAAGAGCCTGGGAAACTTAAACAATAAAGAAATTTATTTCTTCCCATTGCAAATGCTAGGACACACATCAAGGTCCTGGCATGTGATAAGAGCTTTCTTGTTGCGCCATTGGAGGATTGAGGGCAGGAGGGTAAGAGAGAGCTAGAGGGGGCTGAATGTATCTTTTGACAAGGAAGCAACTCTTGGATAATATACACACTCCCACAATAACTGCATTGATCCTTTGGCCTTCTCATGTATCATTTGATCCCATCTTCCGAGGGTTAAGTTTTTAATGTGTGTTTTTTTGGGGAGAATACATTCAAACCATGGTACCCTCCCCCAAATCATTACACAGAAGCTTCTGTCCACAGCTCTGAGGAGGTGCAAGATGTTGTGGATATGCATGCCTTTTCACCAGAGCTTGGGTGCAGAATACACTCAGAGCATTGATTCTCTCCACTTGTCAACTATTTGATCACAAACCAACCATAATATTAAAGGATTTTCCCTGAGGCTTACATCATTAGCCCCTAGAAGTAAATTGTGATACAGATGTTTGAGATTAGATCTGATTTTAGTTTTTGTCCCGCTGCCAAACTCAATTGTGTATTCTTGAGAAGATCCATACTCATGCCTTTGAAGAGGTTCAGGGAGAAACAAGGAGTGTATTTATGACAATTGCGATTTTTGTTTTCTTTCAGGAATCTGATTTTCTTTGTCTTCTTGGAGCAAGCTACTTGTTTGAAATTGAAGATAGTGAGATAAACAATGATAATAGTGAAAATGTATATCCATATGAAGAGGACAGAGACTCAGTGTATGGTATATATGAAAGTGATTTCCAAATGGATCCTGAATTCTATGCAACTCCTCCAAGCACTTTGTTTGAAGACCGGTTTGCAGCATCTGAGGCTCCTGCAGATATCAGAAGTGCCAGTGAATCAGACGACTGGGAAGAGGCAGGAGCCAGCAGCATGGATGGGGATCACATCCCGGAAGTGGATTATATTTCACCACCCTCATCTGTGCCAGATGAGCAAGGACGATTCAGAGTAGCAACCGAACAAGCCCCAGAGAAGGGTGCTGAAGCAGTTACTGAGCCTGTTCCAGAAAGCTCATTTGGAAGTAGAACAGTAGTGAAAGGTGAGAATGATCTAGAGGAATTAAATAATGGTGAGCCCCAAACAGAACATGAGCACCAGCCTGAATCAGAATTGGGATCCTTGCCAGAGGACCAGCCTGAAGGAGCCCTGGACTCAGAGGACGTTCCCACATCTCAAGCCACTGTCTGGTTTGGTGGTGGATTCACAAGTTATTTAGGTTTCGGTAAGGAGGATACAGGGATTGAGTTATTATCCGAAGAAAGCAATCAGCCACTGCAAGATGTTCCCAGTTCCATGTCGTCTGATGAGGAAGCCCCGATTCCATGTATGGAAGTGTTAACAGAAAAAGAAGACACAATTGCTAACGATAGCTCAGTTCGCAAGCCAAGTTGGTTTGATTTTGGTTTTGGTGTGCTAAGCTTTGCATATGCCAGTGAAGAAAAAATTATATCAGATGATGGGGAAAATGAAGAAAACAGTGGACTAAATGAACCTGAACACACTGATGTGAGGGAATTTGACTCTCCTAAGGAACAAGAGATGAAAATGATAAAAACTGTAGAAACAGAAGATCAAACAGAGAAGGAAAAAGTCTTTGAGAAAACAGATGATTCTAGTACCATACCGTATTTGAAAAAGTTTTTGTATAATTTTGATAACACTTGGAGCTTTGAGAATGATCCAAAAGAAACAGAATTGCCATTTCCCAAAGAAACATGGGATCAAAATAATATGGTTGAACATGATGAAACAGAAGAATTTTCAGCTGAAAGTTATCCCACAGAAAATGTGGAAAATCTTATGATGTTGGAAAGCAGATACAGTCAATCAGGTTGGTATGAAAATATTTGTCAACAAAATTTATTATTTATTTATTTATGTGTTTATGACCTAGGGTCTCACTGTGCAGTTCAGGCTGGCCTTGGCTCACAACAATCCTCTTGCCTCAGTTTCCTGAGTGCTGGGATTATAGGCTTGTGCCACCATGCTGGGCTAACATAATTTAATTTTACAATACAAACTAGATGAAAAAAACTCATGAATCCCTGCTTTTCAAAACAGTGAATAATCAATAGTCATCATTCTTATCAATTTCTGGTTTACTTAGGAAATTATAATGTAATATGATAAAATAAAATCCCCAAGGGAAACAGAATGATTGGAGATATTTTGATGTTCTAAGATTTTACAGTATTTTATAGTAAGTATTTTATATGTAAATGAGTTTAAAATTTTAAATAATGCTAAGAATTTTTTTAAGAATTTTTTTTCTGAGTACCAGGAATTGAACTTAGGAGCTTGTGCTTGCCAGGCAGGTGCTGCACCACTGAACTATATCCCTGGCTCATGCTAAACAATTTTTACAAAAGCAATTTCTGTTCCCTCTGTCATCTTTACTCTCACATTTGTCCCAGAAATAATAACTTCTGAGTTTTTAAAGCAAAATTATTTTTAGTATTTCTCTAGTTTTTCTCAATAAAAGCTATTATTGCCTTTTGATTTATCTATTTTGGACAATGTCTATTGTTTTCCTATCCTGTAGATGAGATTTTCACTCACTTATATTCCACTTTTTGGACTTTCCTCAAAACAATCATATTTGAATTGTTTTATTAGGAATTTAAGCTAAAGAAAATGCAATAATTCAAAATAGTCATGATGCTTAGTATATTTTATTATAGGTCTGTAGTTATGGTTTGTTCTGCTTTTTCTAAGGAGCAGTACAACATTTTTCTCTAAGTGTACAGGACTGTAGTAAATGTCAAGCAAAAATAAGGTGAAGTTTTCAACCTTCTTACTCAAATCTCTCAATTCTAGGAGGATAATAGAAGACAGAGAGAGAGAGAAAGAGAGAGAGATCTAGAATACTTCTAGATATAGTTGTCCAAGTATCTAGCAACTCCTAGGGTTAGAAACGTGTGGACTGTAATTTAAGTGACCGTTTTGTAACATGAATTCCGAAATCTCCATTCTGATGTCTCTATGACTGACACATTAGAAACTGAGCAAATATGTGCATCACTGTCTTAGTTACTTTATGCTTGTTGCTGAGACAAAATACCTGAAGCTGAAAGTTGGGAAAGGAAAGATTTATTTCTTACAGTTTTTTGGAGGTTTTAGTCCACACTCAGTTGGCTCCAAGACAGGCGGACATGGCTAGACTGCAACAGCAAACTTGAATCAGCAAAGAGCAAGACACACCTTCTTCCTGCCATTACATCACATCCTGGCTCCACCCCTTTGTGGGTGGAGCACTGACACCATCAATCCAAGCACTAGACAATGAACCAATAACAAATGCACAATTCAAACTCATGAGGCCTGGGGGACACAGACATAAACCATGACATTTCACCCCTGGCCCCCAGGACTCATGTACATCCTTTATACAAAAGACATTTAGTCCACCTCCAAGAGTTGCCAAAGTCCTAACAGCTTCAGCATTGCTGAAAAGTCCAAGTCCAAAGTCTCCTCCAAGATCTATGGCAAACTCTTAACTGTAACCCCTGTACAAATGAAACAAGGTTAAACATTTCTGAAATGCAAAGGCACAAGATAAACATTACCATTCCAAAAGTTACAAACAGGGGAATATAAAGTATTGGAAACAAAGCAATTCTAACATCCAACAGGGCAAACATTAAGTCCTAGAGTTTTATACTCAGCATCTGAAGCAATCTGGTTGCAAGCTCCAAAAGCCTTGGGTGATTCCACCCCCAGGGCACTTCCAGGGATTTCAACTTTCGCAGCTTTTTTTTTCAAAATCTTCTCTGCTCGCTTTTTGCTGCTTTCCTTGGGTCATCTACATTTCTGGCTTTTTCAAACTTCTGGTGTCCCCACTGCACCTTTGGCTTCACCCTTACATCTTCACAAATTGCCCTCTCAGGGGCACACTGCTTGGCCAGCCAGGCCCTTTGCAATCGAGGTGGAAGCCGTCTTACCCTCAGAATTCGTGCATTTTCCTTGCACCTAAAATCAGCACCTTGTGGATGCCGCCAAGGTTTGCTGCTAGCTAAAGCAGTAGCCAGGCTTTTCTCTCTCTTGGCTGTAGGGGTCAGTTGTCTGGATTGCAGGGCTCTGTTTACCTGATTGTGAGAAAAAGCTTCTCTATGTTGCCGCCATTCTGCAACCTCATGTGGCCGCTGTGGCCATTCTGGAACATGGTGCTCTGCAGCTTTTTCCTCCGAGCAAATTTTTTTTACCTTTGCTGTGAGGCTGTACAGGGTGGGGACCCACTTCCTGGGGTGCCCCAGGGCCATCTTCTTCTCTCTCTGTTTCACCTCAGGAATCAAAATCTCAACTCTGTCTTTACAATCCACAGCCTTCCTGGAATTTTCCTTCTGGCCAAACTCACAGCATTGTAAATTATCCTCTTGGGCTCTTTGCTCTCCATTTGAAACATAAAGCTGGCTGAAAGCCCCCAACAATAGCCATGTCACAGCCTCAATGTTTGATTGCTTTTTAATTTCTTTTTCAAGATTAATCAGTCCATTGCCCTTTGTCTCAGTCTCAGGCAAAGTCTCTGGGCAGGAGCAAAATGCAGACAAACTTTCTGCCAAGCCATAACACACATCATGTGGAGTCCAACGACCAATGCAATCCTTCCCAGCAGAAACTTCCCAAGCCTGGTCTTTACCATCTGGCTTTCTATCAGCCTTTTGGTCTCCTGAGCTCTGACCAGAATCTCCTCTACAGAACACTCTAAGCTGCTCCAGCTCTATGCATACAGGTGACATGTCTGAACCTTTCCAAATTCTGCCCACAAGATATTTCCAAAGCCTCTCGAGAAACATGGTCAGGTATAGTCACAGCAAACGACCCCATTCTCGGTACCAAATTCTGTCTTACTTACTTTATGCTCGTTGCTGAGACAAAATACCTGAAGCCCAAGTTAGGAAAGGAGAGATTTATTTCTTACAGTTTTGGAGGTTTTAGTCCACACTCAGTTGGCTCCAAGACAGGCAGGCATGGCTGGGCCACAGTTCATGGTGACTGCAAACAGCAAGCAGGAACCAGCAAAGAGCAAGCCACACCTTCTTCCTGCCATTACATCACATCCTGGCTCCACCCCTTTGTGGGTGGAGCAGACACCATCAATCCAAGCACTAGACAATAAACGAATAACAAATGCACAATTCAAACTCATGAGGCCTGGGGGACACAGACTTAAACCATGACAACCACCATGCCCCATGAAAACTTGCCTTAATTATAAAGTGTGTAAAGAAACTGATTATCTAGGCATGGTGACATATACCTTTAATTCCAGCACTGTGGAGGCTGAGTCAGGAGGATCCAGGAGAGTTTGAGGGTAATTTGGGCTACAAAATGAGTTCAAGGCCAGCCTGAACTACATAGCAAGAACTCCTAAGTCTCAAAACACATAAGTGTGTGTGTGTGTGTGTGTGCTTGCACGCGCGTGCAGAAATCACTGATCCTACCTAAATCAATGTTTATGAAAGACTGGGACTTGGGATGACCAATTTTATAGCAAAATTAGTATGCTGATGTTAGAATTTTTCAAACAGGTAAATTGGAGAACCATTATTTATGTTGCAGTATTAACTATTTCACAAGTGGGCTCCAGCTGAGCTTATTTCCATAATGAGCTTGCAAAGTAGTTACATAATAAAATGATTTTATTTGACTTAAGATTGTGTTAATGTTACAAAGAAACATGTCTGTATCTAATGTAGACCTTAAAGCTTAAATTTAAGTCATTTGAAAAAATACCTTAAAATTATAGTGCAGTATAGAAATACTAGGGAACATCTACTTATGTCACACATATATATTTATTTGAAATGTATCCTGAGGCTGTATTTTCTTAATATAGCCACATAAAAATTTGAGTATAATGGCTAAGTCAGCTCCTTTTCCCTAAGGCTGCTAAGCATCACAGATCACTGGTGTACCTATACAGCAGTATGAGTGCATTTAGGCTCCTGACTCGAGTCTGGCGTGGAAGAACTCATCTGTGGTTCCAGCACTTGGGAAGCCACAGCTGCCACTTGGGAATCAGCCTGGCAATGTATTAAGACACCCATGTAAAACAGACAAACTAGAAATGCCTGGGGTTCCGTCCTCAGTACCCACTGAAAAGGAATCCTGCCTTAATTCCTCTTTTTCACTATCCATATCCACAAGCTGGTCAGTGGCTCATGCCTGTAATCCTATCTCTCTGAGAGGCTGAGGCAGGAGGGTTGAAAATTCAAGCTGAGTCTGGGCAATGCAGCAAATAAGTGAGACCCTGCCTCAAAAAGAAAAGATGAAAAAAGGCTGGAATGGAATGGAATGGAATGGAATGTGAAGGTCCCGAGTTTATTTCCTGGTACCCTGGCACTGCAAACACAATTACTGATAGGTATTTGCTCACCTGGAACTTTTATCTTTTGAATAATGCTAAATAAGGATAGTATCAAAGAAGTACTGTTTTAAAGATCACTACCCTCACACTGGAGCTGTAGTTTAGTGGTAGAGCACTTAGGAGGCCCTGCACTCAATCTCCCTGCGGGGGAGGAGAGGGTCAAAGAGCAAAGAGCTCAAAGAGCAAACCTAGACGTTTAACAGTTCACTTGCTGCTTAATAGTGCTTTTCAGGTCCACTGGTGACCACACCAATGCTTGTGCTTTGTTTTGAATCCTTGTTTTAAAAAGTACTGAGAAGTAGATCCCAAAATTTATTTGAATATTGTACTTCAAGACAAGATTAATTAGAATTTTTTTTTTGTCTTTTTGAGAGAGTGTCTCACTATGCAGTTCAGGCTGGCCTTGAGCTCACTTTGTAGCCCCGGCTGGTCTCGAACTCACAATGATCCTCCTGTCTCAGCCTCCCGGGTGCTAGGATTACAGGCGTGAGCTGTAACTCCTGGCTAATTAGAATTTTTGCTAGATGTGGTGGTACATGCCTGTAATCCTGGCACTTGAGAGGCTAAGGCAGGAGGATCATCAGGAATTTTTAAAAAAAAAGGAGTTCAAAGTCAGCCTGGGCTACATAGTGAGTTCAAAGCTAGCTTGAACGACATCTTAAGACCCTGTCTCAAATATAATTAATTGATTAAAAAGTAGTAAAAAGGCTGCTCTCCTGAAAACTAATGTTTAAATTTCCAATATGAAAACTACATAAATCAAAATCTGTTACGTTTGTAATATCGCATCATATAATTTTCTCCATATCAAGTCAAAATAACTATTAATTTAAGAAAATCAATTTTCATGAGGGTGTGGTGCTGCACACCTGTATTCCCAGCACTTGGGAGGATGAAGCAGGAGGGTTACCACAGGACGGAATACCTGTTTAAACCAAAGTTCTTAAAAGATGTACCTATGTATTTTCATTCTTAAGTTGAATTCAGGTATATTGCAGTTCATTTAAATATTTAACTTATAGCCAAAAGATCAGGAGCTTTTTTTCTCTTGTTATGTAGCCTTTTTTTTTTTTTTTGGTCTTTTTCCTTTTTATTGGTACCAGGGATCGAACTCACGACTGCCTGCTTGCAAGGCAGGTGCTTATGCCGCTGAGCTAAATCCCCAGCCCCCACATCCACATCTTATGTGGCAGCTTTATGAATGCTTACTTGATAATTTCTAAAGTAAATTTACTAGTAAATTAGTAAACAATGTACTAATATAATGTACTCTAAAATATAAAATGTCCTCTTGGGTGATAAATGTGTTTAATCGGAAGAAAATCTGCTTTCTCAGTTTTTGCTTTTTGTTAGTCCATGTTGGCAGTACACAGTGAGCACATCCCTGTGGGAAGCTGGTCCACATTCATAATGTAGCTCAGATATTTTTCATCTCTGTTCCTCTCCCCTCCATCTCTTGGTCCCCTTCTCATCTGCAAAAGATTTAGCTCCCTCCCTCCCACTGTCCTTTATTTTGCTCCTTATTTACATTTTGGGTCTCTCTCATAGAATATTAAATTGTATCATATTCAAGCTTGTGTGTCTAATTTATTTCAGTTAACATTATGGTCTCAAGGTGCATCCATTTTCTTAGAGATGACTCGTTTATTCTTCTTTCTGGCAAAATAGTACTCCTTTGTGTATAAATGCCACATTTTCTTTCTCTATCATCTGTGGATGGACATACAGGCCCCTTCCAAGGTTTATCTATTGTGAATTGTGCTACTATAAACATGGATAGGCATATGTCACTGTAATATGATGTCTCTAACTCTTTGAGGAAGATACCTAGACGAGGAAGAGCTGGGTCAAATTTGCCTTTGTCTAGTGGCTATAAATGTTGAACATTTTCTTCATACATTTATTGTCATTTGTACTTCTTCTGAGAAGTGTCTGTTCACTTCACTTGCCCATGTGTTGGTGATGTCTTTTGTTTTGGAGGTCTATTATTTTTAAGTTCTTTATATATTCTAGATATTAGTCCTCTGTCTGAGGAATACCTGGAAAAAAATTGTGCCCTTTCTATAGACTGTCTCTTCACTTTGTTGGTTGTTTTCTTTGAAGTGTCCCTATTTGTTGAATCTTTTTTTTTTTTTTTGGTACCTAAATTGAGCTCAGGACCTTGGGTTTGCCAGGCAGATGCTGAGCCACTGAGCTATCTCCTCAGCCTATTTGTTGATTCTTGACGTTATTTGTTGTGTAATAATTGTGGTTCTGCTTAGAAAGACCTTGCCTTCAAAAGTTTTACCTATATTTTCTAACAGCAAATTGTTTTCACATTTAGATCTTTGATCCATTTTGATTTTAGTTTATTTTATGGTGAGCTATATGGTTCTAGATTCCATCTTCTGTCCATGGACAGGTAGTTTCCCCAGCACTATTTGCAAGAGAGGCTCTCTCCTCCAGTCTATAGTTTTGAACCCTCTGTAAAAGATCAGATAGCTGAATGTGCCCCCAGTGGTTTCTGCATCCTCTGTCTCACTGATCCACTTGTCTTTTTTTGTGCCAATACCATGGCGTTTTTTATCACTATAGCTTTGCAGTGTAACTTGACATCTGGCATTGTCATGCCTCGGGCTTTGGTTGTTATCCAGGATTCCTTTTGCTATCCTGAGTCTCTTTTGGTTCCCAGTGAACTTTAGGATTGTTTTCTTGTGAGGAATATTATTGGTTCTTATTTATTTAGTCTTTTTGAGACAAGGTCTCACTAAGTAGTTCGGATTGGCCTTTGAACTCACTTTGTAGCTCTGGCTGGTCTTGAACATGTAGTGATCTTCCTGCAGCACCATGGAATGTCTTTTCCTTCTCTTTTCTTTCTTTTTTCTTTTCTTTTGAGACTCAGTCTCACTATACAGCTCAAGGTTGATTTGAGCTCACAGTGATTCTCCTGCTTCAGCCTCCTGAGTACTGGTATTACAGGTGTGCATCACTATGCCCAGCCACCTTTCGATTTCATTAATGAATTTGAGGATATAAGCTTTTACATCTTCCCTGATGTTCTTGCACAATTTCCCAATCTACTGGGACTAACTGGAAAGAGGTCGTTTTGCTGTTTAGTTATTTTTTTTTAATGGAAGGAAATCTTAAGGGGATCCATGTATTTTCTTAGTCATTAGCTTGTATAGAACAATATAGTTGTTGACAGTTCTACTAACCTTAGGCAATTTTTTAATGTAGTTTTTAGAACAGAAAGGTGATATAAAGAATAAAATTATATATTGCTTTCGTAATTCTTCCTTGGGCAAGAAATAAAGGAAAGGCAATATGGTAGGCTGAATAAAGCCGTCAAAACAGCCATGTCTTAGCTTCCAAACCTTGTGGGTGGTAAGAAGAACTTTGAAGATGTGCTAAAGTGAAGGATCCTGTAGTGGAGAGAATAACTTTATGGGCTGAATATAGTCACAAGATTGCTTATGAAAAGATGGCAGGAAGCCGGGCATGGTGCTGCATGCTTGTAATCCCAGCACTCAGGAGGCTGAGACAGGAGGACTGCCTCAAAGTTTGAGGCTAGCCTGGACTACAAAGTGAGTTCCAGGTTAGCTTGGACTCCATAGGGAGACCCTGTATCAAATGGAGGACGCGCCCTAGAAATGCCAGAGGCTGCTGGAATAACAAGGGTGACAGATGTGCTCGCGCCAGAGCATCTGGGAGGAAGCGAGCTCCGCCAGTGCCTGAATTTTAGGGCTTCTGACACCCAAAGTAGATGGAAATAAATCTACTATCAAAGCTACTAAGTCTGTGGTAACTTATTATGCCAGCAATAGGAACTAATACAGGTTACAGTTTATCTTTAGTGCATTTTTCTCAAATTAAGTGTCTTAATGACCATGAAGAGTGATAATAAAGTGAAAGCCTGTAACACAGCGTGTGTCTTTTTTACACGATGTTTCTCTATTTATCTGCAGACATGATCTCTACAGCAGAGTTATCTTTGAGAATTACTGAAAAAGGATCTTTTAAAACCTCCTCTTCTAAAAATAATGATGAGGAATCAAAATTCCCAGTAGACTCTGAAGAGCCTGCTCACGTGGAAATAGACAGATCTGTGGAAATCACCTCTCCAGACAGCCGGATGGTTTCAACTGATAGTGGTTTGTCTTCTCACAATTACATTCCTCAGAAAGGTAAGAAACAAGCTGTTCTCTAATCCATCAGTTAAGGAAGAAGTGAGATTCAAAGGTTATACAGCAAGTATTTTTTCTAATTTTTAATATAGCAAATGTTAACATATTTTTATTTATAAATCAACAGATGATGCTTCAGAGTTTCAGATTCTGAAATATTTATTTCAAATTGATATTCGTGATGTCATGAATTCTGTATTTTCACCAGTTATACTACTTTCAGAATGGGTAAGTCAGCCTTTTAAATCTTTTGCAATAATTTTTAAAAATTGATTTTACTAAGTATAGGAGTGGTTTCAAAATATGTTTGAATGAATCTCCCCTGTCTACCTTACACTTTTTTTTTCTCATGAAAGCTTCATATAATATTGCACATTAATGTTTTGTTTCATGTTAAGATTTTAAAAATTGTTTTAACAGGATTTGCTAGTCTTGGCTGGCAGTACTGGTGCACACCAGTAATCCCAGCACTAAGGAGGCTGAGGCAGGAGGATCACTTCGAGTTCAAGGCCAGCCAGGGCTACAAAGTGAGTTCATGGCCAGTCTGAACTGCATAGTGAAACCCTGTCTCAGGAAAAAAAAAAAAAAGATTTGCTGATCATGAGTATTTTTTCTTTTCTTTTTAAAATTAAGGAAAACTATACTAAATGAATTAACTCAGCCATCATATGAACTAAAAAGTCTTAAAAGTTTTAGTATCCATATGACAGCTGTTGTCTAAAAGTGGTATAATGTAAGAGTATAAAAGCAACTGGTATCTCAAAATTTAACCAAGCTGTAGCTAAAATTTCAAATTCTGTTCACTTTTTCAGTTTTTAGTAATTTCTAGAGCACTTATTACTTTCTTTAACCTATTACATATAACATTTTTAGTGTGTATTAGTAATACAGAATAATGAGTTTTGTTTTGAGACTTCAGTTCCTGCATATAACACTTTTTGATCATTTTACATCCCATTACCCCCACCGTTTCATTTATTATGAACTTACTGAGATATAATCTTACAGAAGGACCCGGCTGTCACATTTAGCACACAGGAGGACTTTGATGAATGTTTGGTTTCTTTCCTCACCTACTGTTACTGTAAAAATAACTGAAGAAGTAGTTTTATCTTCTCCCTTTTTGTTGGGCAGTACTAGGGAGAACTCAGGCCCTTTGCACTAGCTACATCCTCAGTCCTTGCTTTTATTTCCTATTTCGAGCAGGGTCTTGCTAAATCACTAAATTGCCCAGGCTGAGCTTGATCTTTTTTGATCCTGCTGTCTCAGCCTCAGTGCTGGCATTACAGGTGTGTCCTGCCACACCCAGCAGAGGACACAGGTAAAAACAGTGGTAATTATAACCCAGTACCGTGATAGCCATAAGTTGCTACTGATTCAGGAGGCGCTTCTGGGCAACTGGACTGTAAGGAATAGGCAGAGAGTGTGGGGATGTGTTGTCCAGGAGAGTTTCCAGGATTGCATTTGAGCTGGTATTGAATTAAGAGTGGAGTCAGCCAAGGAAGGAGAGGATGCATGCGCTAAATTGAAGAGACAGCAGTTTTGAAAATATGAAAGAGGAAGAGAACATGCCGTATTGGGAGAAGTGTAAGTTCTCTAGTCAGAGTGAGCACAGGATGGGCTGAAGATGTTCACAGAGATCAGAGACAGAATAGTTTTGCTGCCAGACCCTGTAAAATAAAATTTACAAAAGGGGATTAGGGGGATAGCTCAGTGGTAGAATGCTCTCCTAGTATGCACAAGGGCCTGGGTTTCAATTTCCAGCACTGGAGGAAAAACTGGGATAGAGTTATAATAAGCTAAGTCTTTTTGTTTGTTTGTCTGTTTTGGAGACAGGGTTTTACTGTGTAGTCCAGGTGACCTTGAACTATGTAGCCCAGGCTGGCTTCAAACTCGTGGCAATCCTCCTGCCTCAGCCTCTGGATGCTAAGATTACAGGCTTTGCCCCCATGCCTGGTGCCTCCTCCTCACCCCCCATATGGCCTTGGGGATTGAATCCAGGGCCTCCAGCTTGCTGGGCAAGTGCTGTAATACTAAGCTACATTTACTGCCTTTTTAGGTTTTTTTTTTTTTTTCATTTTGAGACAAGGTCTTGCTAAATTGCTCAGACTGGCCTCAAGCTTGCCATCTCCCTGCCTCAAGCTCCAGAATAGCTGAGATTAGGGATATGTCACAATGCTGGCTTTGGTTGGAAGTCTTAAAATGGTCTTTAGTGAAATGACTTTTCAATTTTTGTTAATTGTCTTGTGATGTTATAAAAGCACTTATTCTCTGTGGAAGAAGTCTCAGTATTTTTTTGGGGGGGGGGGCGGGCAGGGTCTTGCTATGCAATTCAGGTTGGCCTTGAGCTCACTTTGTAGCCCAGGCTGGTCTTAGCCTTCTCAGTGCTAGGATTCAGGCATGGGCCCCATACCTGGCTCAAGGAGTCTCAGCTTTAAAAATTTAAAAATTTTATTTATTATTTATTTTTGGTGCTGGGGATTGAACTCATGACCTCAAGCTTGCCAGGCAGGCATTTAAGCCACTGAGCTAAATCCCCTGCCCCAATGTTTTTATTTTTTAAAACTTTAATATCAGAAGCAGAGACTATATCACAGGTTGCTGGTTGAAACTGGCTTGTGCATCATTTAAGAAAACTGTTAATCAGTTGTTAACAGTTAAAGGATAAAATCACTTAAAGTGTAAATTTCTGGATTCTCTTTAAAATGTTTAAGACTGTAATTTAAAGCCTCTCATTCTTCTACAGCAACAAGAGGCACAAGGTGAATAGCGCCTTAACGGGAGACAGATACTTTCCTGTTCCTCACATTTTTTCAGCTGCTTGACCTCTATAGGACTTTAAATCCAAACCCTTAGACTAAATTTTCTGAAGAGTTCCTAACACATCTGTAATTCTAACAGTCTACATGCACTTAAGTACCCACAATCCAGTCTTCAGTGGCTTCAGGAAGTAGAAAATTTGAGCAATTTTCCAGTTAAGTAAAAGGGTTTCATCTTCTTTCTCTTCTCTTCCCTTTTCTCCTCCCATTTCTCTTCCTTCTCCTCTTCCTTTTTTCTCTTTTCTTTTCTTTTTTTCTTTCTTTCTTTTCTTTTTCTTTTTTTTTTTTTTTTGAGACAGAGTCTTGCTATGTAGTTAGGTTGGCCTCAAACTCTCTGAAATCCTCAGCCTCTCAGTTTCTGGAATTACAGGCATGTGTCCTCATACCTGGCAAGTTTCCTTTCCTCCTTGCCTAAATATTGCAGGCAATTGTTTCAACAGCACATGCAATTTCAACTTACTGGTAACTTTTCACAGAACATACCTTAGTTGTATTGTTCAAGTAATAGCAGTAACTACTTTAGTTTTTACATTTTATCTACTTCATTTCACAATTGAGGAACCTGTTCTACCATTTATATATTGCTACGTAGAATGCTTTGTTACAGGGAGGATGAGCAAAGGAAATTACCCAGTTCTTGTCCAGGTTTAGTATGTCCTGAAAATAACTCTTCCATCATTAATACAGGGAATGATTATGTGGCTCAACATTTTGATTTTCTTCCAAAGAACTAGATCTTTGTTAACAGTTAAAGGGTAAAATCACTTAAAGTGTAAATTTCTGGATTCTCTTTAAAATGTTTAAGACTGTAATTTAAAGTGCACTGGTGGCACTGCCGGTTTAATTAAGCAAGAGTAACTAGTACTTCCAGCTTTGCCACAGGGCCCTGCATGGGGAAGTGACTTTGCAGGTTGTGGACATAGTTTACCTGGTTATTGAGTTTCCAGTGTTCTTGGATGCTCTGTCATAGCTCTGCAAACACCGACAGCATTTGTTGGCCATTTCCTTTAAACCAGGTCCCATGTAAGACAGTAAAATCCAATGTCTACTTATGGGAGCAATCTGAATATCTTTTGCATGGTAGAAATCATGTACTCCATATGAATAGACTATAAAATAGAACATTCAGTTTACTTTTTAAAAAATTAGTTAGCAAGTGTAGGATTTTTCTTTTTCCAGTTGTAGATTATAAGAGGATAATGATATACAATATTTGAGATAATGTGTGTGTGTGTGTGTGTGTGTGTGTGTGTTTAGTAAAGTGCAAGGTCCATGAAATTGGATTACAGGTTGGTAGTCGTGACTCCACCTGTAGCACCCCTTTACCGCACAAGTGTCATAACAGGATCACAGCTGTGTGGCAACAGGAGTGCAGGATATACTAGAATCTGAAATGTTTCTCAAGGGTATGAGGTGCTTTGTAGAACTTCATAGATACCTGAATATTTAACATGAGCTTCTTAAGAAATGGAACTGAAAGATCTGGAGGAAGAGGTGAGTTATGACTATTAAGCGTCATACATGAAGACATTAAGCATGGAATTTTGCACTGTTAAACTTTACTGTTTTTAATATAGGGTAACTTAGATTTTTACTCATCTTAAACTTTAGTGTTCTTTTGTTCTTGATCTGTTCTTTCTATTTGGAATAGTTACTGAACAACTGGAAAGAGGCACAGACTTAGGAAGGACCAAGGAAATTTTTCTTTTTACAAGTTCTAAAAGCTCTGATTCTGGAGTCCCCTGAAAATGTTCAGACTCCTTGAAAAATTTTTATTGAGTAATAAAACATTTTACTGAGGCATGCATTGCTATTAGTCTTTAAATTCTAAAGATAAAATCTTGATTATGCTTGTGCTCTGACTTTAGTAAGCTATTCACAATCTGATTTCAGCATACACTGTTTGACACGCATGAAGGTGCGTATTACCTTAAAAATGGAGAATTATTAAGTAGTCTCGGCTACTTTCTGACGCTGGCAGTTCCTGATACTCCTTAGGCTGATGTGGCAGAGAGCCGAGCGGGCGCAGTTTGAGTTCTAAAACGCTAGGCCACATTTTGCTCCGGAAATCTTCCTGTGAACTCGGGTGTTTCTGATGTCTTTAATACCATAAAGATTGTGTTGCCACCAAAGCTTACCTAGGGCAGTTTTCCAGAGATTCACCATCGTGTTGTCCAGCAGGTTCTCTCGGGTAGTTGATTCAGGAAGACGGACCTGCTCCTTTCGGAACCGTGTCACTGGGCGCTTGGGTTAGGAGGCCGAAGTGAAGGAGAGTGATAAGGAGGATGTGTACAGAGGGGTTGCCTTTTGCACCTGTGTCACCTAAAACTATTTTCTGCACTATTCATCGGCCCTGCAAACAAGACGTGCCCTTCAGAGACCCAGTTGCTGCGTTTAGCTCCTCTTCTCCAGGAGGGCAGCGGGGCCAGGCCTGGGTCCCCGGGTCGGCTCTGGCACCAGGGGGCTCCAGGTGCAGGCTGATCAGCTCGCCGGCCAGGGGGCGCGGCGTCCCCGCGCAGGTGGGAGTGCACCGAGCGGCGCACACCGACGCGCGAGGTTCCGGGCCGGGTTGCGAAGTCCGGGTGCAGTTGGCCGGACGCCCCGGCGCGAGTCCCACAGGCGGAATCCGACCGGGTTCCCTGGGCCGGCGGGGTTCCCCGGGGTACGACCCGGGAGAGCTTGTGCGGGGCACAGACGGCAGGCTCCGGCAGCGGAGCGGAGAGGAGGGCGCTGGGGACTGCCTCAAGCCCTGGCTTTCGGGGCCGCGTTGCCCGCAGCACAGCGATGGGTTGGCTCCGAGTCTCCGAGGCCCCGAGAGCCAGGGCTTGCGGCCTTGGAAGCGAGCGCCGGCCCCTTTAAGAGCGAGCTAGCGGGACACGTAGCACGAGGGGGGCGGGGAAGTTTCCTGGGTCCGAGCCGTCCCGCCTCCCCGCGGAAGGAACCAAAGCGCGCGTTTGGGGGTGCTGGGTGTGTTTGTATGTGTGTGGAGAGGGGCGCGTCGCCGGCTCGCGGGACTGGAGCGGACCCGGTCACTCCGGGATGTGCGGCGGAGCAGGCGAGGGGTTGATGCTCCCCAGCGGGCAGCGACCGGAAGCGTGGTCCGCGGCGCCCGTCCCCGGTCCCCCGCAGCCAGCCGCGCAGTGGTCCGCTCCGCCGCCGGGTGCAGGCTTGGTTCCGGACTAAACGTTGGGCGTCCTGGGCCGCCGGTTGTGGCCCGGCCAGGCCGAGGCTGCGGCAGTGACGGCCCGGACGGCCTCGAGCCATGGAAGGGCCCGGGGCCGCCCTTCGGCCGCACTTGGGGTCGGTCCTGGCCGAGCTGCGCAGGGTGAGTTCGCGGTTGGGGGACGTGGCCCGGCGTCGCTGGGTCCCGGGCTGTAAGCGCCGACCCTGGCGGCGGGGTCCTCGCCGGGTCCCGGGCTCCGGCCTGGAGCCGCTCAGTGGCCGGGCCCGGAGCTCGGTGTCTATCGGTGGTAGAGGGGGACCGCAGGTCGGGAAGGTGAGGAAGCGTTTGCTCTGCCGGGCTTTGCAGCAGTGGAGGCTGTGAGCGGCCGCCGTGGTAGATTCCCAGCGGGAACCAGCCGTTGGGTTGTGTTATTTATTTTGAGCTAGGATCGGTGACACGTGGTTCCCCCGACTGGGAAACCCAAGGACCGATCTTCTGAGATGAGTTGGGTTATTTAGCGAGGAAACTTCTTGTCCTGCAAGGACGCCTAACCTTGGGCGGGAGTTAGGGTGCTTGCTTACGCTGCTTTTCTCGGGTTAAAGAATGCTCTTTTGAGATGCTTTGCCGTAAGTGATTGCACCTTGCTTCTGTCTGTCTGTGCCTTACGGTCGGGGGGATGCAGTGAGTGTCTAGAGATAGTAAACTCCCACTGTCAAAATTTATTTTTTCCAGGTTCACTTTATATTCAGGTTGCAGGCATTTCTTCCTAAGTGATTAATTGAGATGTCTAGGGACATTTATATTGCCGTGTTTTAAAATATTGCATTAGTTTTTTAAAAGGAGTATTTAAATATTGAAGCAGTAGTGATTTTTTTTAGGTGAATTAACAAGTTGTTGCCATTGAGTTCATTCATTTACTCAGTGGTAGACTGTGTATTGCGCGCGCGCGCGCACATACAATCAATGAAAGAGACAGCCTTGCTTCATGTGGAAATTGTAAATAGAGTGAGACGCAGTTTTGGTCATTGGCACCATGCTTTCTGTTAAGGGAGAGAAGACAGAAAAATTAGTCCAAGGAGGGGTGGGAAAGATTACATTCTGTGGAGTGTAGTCTTTCTAGGCCGAGCACAGAGCTCAAGCAGAGATGTGTGCTGGGAAGCAGAAGCTGTTTAACTTAAAAGTGGGCTCAGGGCATGATGTGCAGTGGTGCTTACTGCAGACAGCTGTGTTCCAAGTGCCACTGCAGGTGCTGGAGAGCGGTCGAAGACTTCTGGTTAGATAACTCTTCCAGATAGCAACAGCGTGGAGATTTGATGTCAAGGAAACAAAACTCAACAGGTCTTCAGGGACAAATGACAGAGCTAGAGTAGGGCTAGAGAAAGAGGCACCAAAAGGGGAAGTGTTTAGGAGCTAGGAACTAAAACGGGGTGTGACTTTGTTGATTAGTTGGAGAGGGGGAAAAAGAATATAAATCTAGTGACTGACTCCCAACTTGGTGGCAAGTTGTTTGCTGAGATGGAATTCATAGAAACATCATGAATGAGAGATATCGTCAGGTTTCATGTATTTTCCTCTCTTTGTTAAAAACAGCAATCACTACTTTGCTTTTATGACTAGTAGTGGAGAGAGACATGGATAGGACCTGTCAGATTTTGCAGAATTTTCTCTCTTCTGATGAGTATCTTCACGTGAGTGATTTTTTGCTAAATGCCACTATTTTACACTGGCATTGGTGCTAGCTAGGATGACACAATAATTGCTATTTTTTTCTTTTTAGTTTTAATTTAATATTTTTGGTCCCCAATCAGCTTTTATTGGTACACTTAGATATACATAGTAATCACATTCATTATAGAGAATCTGTGCCTGTACACGATACAACTTGTTTCTTTTTCTCCCATTCCTCCATCCTCTCTTTCTTTTTAGTTTTTAAATTATTGATATTCATATCTATTTACATAAAATTCATCCTTTGATGGTGTTCACCTGCATGTATTCACTGTTGTACAACAGTCACAATGCCGGAACATTTCAGCAGCACTGCAGAGAAAGCCTGTACCTGTTAGCAGGTCCTTCCCTTCTCTCTCCCACCCTTTGGGAACAGCTGATCTGCCTTCTGTCTGTGTGAACCCATATTCCACAAGTTTCATATAAATTACTCGTATACCATGTGATCGTCTATGCATCGTTAGTTTTCAAGGCTCCTCTGTACTTAACATACTACTATTTCATGCCTCTTTATGGCTGAAAATATTCCATCATGTATTTATATCTCTTTAATGACAGTTGATGGACAAATGTTAATGGCCTGGGGTTTTTTAGCTATGATGTATGATGCTAAAGTTTTTAATATGCATTTTTTTATTCACTTGGGTATTACCTATGAATAGAATTGCTCAGTCATACTTGCTCTATGTGTAACTTTTTAAGAAACTGGGAAGTTAGTTGTTTTCTTTATGGGTGACAGCATTTTACATCCCCTCCAGCAGTTTATGAAAGTTCAAGTTTTCCATATCCTCTCTAACACTTGTGATTTTCTGTTGTTATTGTGATTTTTGTGTTTTGGAGACAGGATTTTGCTATGTATTTCAGACTGGACTTGAACTCAGAGTGATCCTCCTGCCTCAGCCTCCTGAGTGCTGGGATTACAGATGTACATCTGTGTTTCCTTCTAAGCATTTTAGCTTAACCTTAAGATCTTTGATTCTTTTAAAATTAATTTTTATATAAAGTATGGGTTAAGATCCATTATTTGGAATACATGTATTGACTTACCCTAGTAAGCTGTGTTGAACTGATTGTTCTCTTCCTATTTGTCTTGGTACTGTTTAATATAATTGACTGTATATTGAAGAGTTTATTTGTAAATTATCATTTCTGGTCTGTAATGTCTACCCTTATGTT